GTTTCCAAATCAGCTCCGAGGCTTGCGCCTCCAAGAAGCCAACAAACTTGTGCAGGACCGTCTGTGCAATCGACTTTAGGGACCGAAAGACCGATGACCACTCCTCCATCATACTCTTGGGAGTGATGCCGCGGAGTAAATCTGAGGTAGGGAAAAGAAAAATATACATCAGAGAAGAACTGTCAAACACGCGATCTTTTATCTTCCGCTAAAGGGCTTGTTGTACATGAACAGCCGAGTTCATGACAAATCACGAGCTTGGAATCCCGTTTGGTGCAGTGGTAAAAGCGTCCTCCTCTCAATCTAGAGGTCCAGGTTCGAGTCCTGAAGAGCGAATTGGGCATCCGCATGATTGCGAAGATTTGCGGGCTTCCTTCCTAGCCTGCTTCCAGGTGAGAAAACACCATAATAAATCAACTTCAGCGGTGAAGGGCACACCCGCAAAAATCAACCCATTACCTTATCTTCCAGGCTCCTCCTTTCTTCCACATCGCCTTGATTTTCACAGTCCAATGACAATTGTACCAGTGCAGTTCTCACAGTTTATTCAGTACCTTAGACAAATCAACCAACAGCACCCCTTCTTCCTCGAACACTTTTTTATACAATGAAAGGGGCCTTCTTTGGACCTTTAGAAATGAATCTTATTAATATCTATCGCTCATCCTTCGTTGACTCGAGCAGGTGGAGTTGTGAAGAGGCGCTTGCGGCTGCGGGCAACTGTTATTTTTTTTTCTGGCTTTTATGATATTATGTTTGTGGCTTAAGCCAGGACGCAACTATTGAAGTTGTTTGCTCCATGGCTATGAGGATCTGTGTATGAATATAATCAGAGATCTCGGTGTTTGATAACGGATGGTCGTGAAGAAAGTGGGTGATATTTGCAAAGTGTTCGCCCAGTAGGCAGCATGTTAGCAGTTAGGGAATGGTGAAGTTGAATGTTGGTTTGATCATGAATTTGGGAGGGTTTAATGTCAGCAAAGAGTGAAGGTCCTCGCCTGATCACAAAGGTTTGTCAGTGCGTCATTGCAAAGTATCCTGCCAGGCTAGGTATTTGGACTCAGGTGCGAGCGATTGCCAGTGAGCACATTTTTTGACCCTCGCTCGCTTGCTCACTTTATATGGGATTAGTGCGAAAGAGCCCTTTAAATTCAGAGTTCGCTCGGCCTCGCTCGCAGCACTGGAAAGAGATGTTGATCATGCGAACAGATCTTTAAAATAATAGTCTCAATCATATTTTAACTGTCCTCGTGCTAGTGAACGCATCCAACTCAATTGGTATTTGGCCAATGCAATTTCCCTTTATTCGATCAACTGATTAACAGATCAACTGGTCACTTCACGAAACGTCAGATTCAAACATGCGCACGGCCGTTCCTTTGGGTTGATCGTATGGTGATTCAACGGATTGCATTCACATTATATAATAACTGGTTAATTGATTGAACGACTGCCTGAACTACAGGTTGACTAACATGTCGACTGGCATTTCTATGTTGTCTCCCCTTATTACGCGCGCATTCCACTTGGTTACACTACTTCTGCATTCTATGCTCTGATACCAAAGGCTAGGATTATTGAATAGCTGCAATTTTAAGAGTTGATTTATGCATAAAGACTATTACTTAGAAACTACATATTCTATACCACCCATTGCACCACCAAAAATAATAACAAGAGGCACTGGCACACTCAAGTATCCCGCCGCTACGAACGCAGCGGTGACAATCACAGCGTGAAAGTCATTACTTCCACCAATAACAGTTGTTTGCTTCCAAAGCAGCCAACATGCAGAAAATACAAATCCCAACGCGCAAGCGTTAACTCCGCGAAAGACCATCCGTACAGAAGGACGATCACGGAAATACTGCCAGAAGGGTACTATAGCGTTTTTCAAAATCAGGCCAGGAAAATAGATGGCCATAAAAGAAAGAATCGCTCCAAGAAGACTATTCTTGTTTGCATTCGCCATTGTAACTGCTCCGATAAAACAAGAGAAGTTGAAATTGGGACCTGGAAGTGACTGAACGAGAGCAAGACCAACCAAGAACTGTTGATCTGTCATCCAGCCAACATCGACAGTGTATGATTTCAAAAGTGGAACGACAACATTACCACCGCCAAAGATAATGGAGCCTACAAAATAGAATGTAGAAACCAGCTTGGCGTAATCAGCGGTGCTTGAGGTGGTTGCCAAAACGCGAACAAGAATCGAGCCAATAAGTAACCCGAGAAAAATCAGAAAGCAAATAAACCCCGACTTTCTCGAGTACGTAAAAGTCCTTTGCACGCTGCTAGTCTTGATACGTGATTCATAAACAGTACATATTAATAACTCGTGCTTCGCTCCATCTTAAACAAGGCTTCCGTCTCTTCTCACCTTAATGCTCGGAAGGTGGCCCTCAATAGATTCACCCGATAGTCGATGTAATCGGGCACTATGACGGTCATCAATGCCGTTGCTGGCCACGGATTGCAGGTCAGTTTGGATTTCATTGTTGGCATCTGAGGTGGGGAATGTCGGAGATTGTCTTGGATCAATACTGTCCAAATCAACATGGCTGGCATGGCTGGGTGATCTTGCTCGACTATCGACGATCCCTTGCTCTAGATTGAAGTGTCCAACTACCCTGTCATCTGATTTGAGCTTTCTCTTGGCTTTCCAGTTGCTCAAGAGAGGAGCCAAGTACTTATCAGAAATATAACTGACGATGCCACCGAGAACCATCACAGTAGGCATGAGCCATGGTGCAGAGTAGAGAGCCGATATGCTCCCCGCAACGAGTGCAATTGATCTCGTCAACTCGTCCGTTGCCAGTGTTGTCGACATGCGATATCCTGCGAGTGCCACAACTCCAATTGCTGCCGATGCCAGTCCTTGCTCAAGTCGAGTTGCCCACAGAGGGATACCTCCCTTAATGCCACCGATCAACGTTCCTGCGACAGTCATAACGATTGCTCCTGGAAGACTACAAAATACACACAGACACCCTCTGAAGTCAGTAACTGTTTTGTGTTTAAACACAATTTGCAAGTCAAAAGTTTTAGAAAAATAACAGAGCTTACCTCCATAGAAAAAAGGCACAAATGGCACATAGCAAGCCTGACCGAATCAGTGCTACACAGTACGCAACTTTGGCGCTGGCTGGACCTGGTAGGGCTTGGCTGATTGCGACAAGCTCGGTAAACTGGTCAATTGAAATCCAATGGCGCTTCGCCACGACCTCGTCGTACAAAATTGCAATGTGTGCATTAGGACCGCCGAAAGCGATGTATCCGAACTTGAAGTAAACAGCCAAGATTTCCTTAAGTCTTTCTTTCAAAGGCGGGACATAACGACGGGCAATGGATGAATGTAATGAAGGGGTTGACATTATAGTGCTAGTATTGATTCAGAAAGGCACTACTGGGGTATAAAGGAGGAGGATGTGAGAGTGGAGGTCGAGGTTCGGAGAGTAGGGGTAAAAGATGGAACAACGGAGCAATGAAACCTGCAAAAGAGTAAGTGAAAGTAGAGCGCATTAAATAAGGAACATATGTCCAGGATTAGGGTTCTAATTATCGCAGCATACTCGCCGAAAATGACACGATTTTATCTCCGAGCTTTGACACGTTTCAGGGTCTAGGTCATCACGCCATATCTCCACATAAAACGCGATCAACGCACCACATATCTCTCTCTCTCATCCAAACATTCCGCCTCTCTCACCTTCAGTACATGATGAAAATAATCAGTGGCTACCAAAATACTGGAAAGGTGGAGGTAACGGAAGGCAAGTGTGCCAACCAAAAAGAGAAAGCTTCGATTCTCCATGTTTAAGAGTGCACAGAGAGTACCCCTACGGCTTGTCTTTACCGACAAACCCTCGTGGTTGGACGAAAACCTTCGCATGCTCACATGCTATCCTCCCAAGTTCTCGAGCAACCCATATTACATCTCATCACAGCAACTAGCGGGCGACCTGCTAGGCGAACACACAACCAACACCATCCCCTTCCTCCATGACCACACACTGAGAGCTTCGATTATTCATAACCAGACTCTTATAGTAATTGCACGCTGAGTGTCTCCCGGCGTAAGGTACAATAGTACAATAAATCTACAGTTCGCCAAAATAGAATATTCGTATCCAAGCATGTTCACCCTGTGTGTTCTTCAGAGTCTTCACTCCGGGAAGGGTTTCTCCATGTGGAGTAAGAAAGTAGATGTGAGACTATTAAAGAGTGTTGTTTTATTCAGGCTGACTTTTCTCTGACTTTTAAATAGGCTGGCAGGGTCCAGAGTATCCAATTCGATAAAGAAGAAGGGTTGCTGCATTTAACCTTAACAGAGGATGTTAGCGAGCGGGACCTACATGTTTTTACCCCGGTTCCAGAACAATTAGTCGTGCTAAGCAACTTTGCATGATCAATCGCAGAGTGTGCCTACCGTGATTCTCAGCTCTCCAAAACTGAACCATCTGCGTGTCTGTGCAAGGATATCAGTTAGAAGAGAGGGACGGACAGAACCTAGGAGTGCGCGTGTTCTTTCCCTGCGAGAGGTATGGTGTTCAAGCAGAAGGTACCGTCGCAGACTGCCATACTGCTGATGATTTGAGAAGACTAGCTAGAGGCGTGAGCTACTACTGGTGACGAAGAAAGAATGCTGGCGTTGTAGTATGTACTTGAGTGTGCTGAGATTCATTCAGGAGCAAGTCCTGTCAGTAGCAACTCGTTGATGTGAATCAGAGTTGTTTTGTCGATGTACTGAGAGAGAGAGCGAATACAGGGAAGAAATCTTTATTGGTAATGAGATGAAGAGTCATGAGTGAAGGGTGGGAATTCAAAGGAGTGTTGATGATGAGGAGTGAAGCAAAGAATGGGAAGGAGAGAGAGAGACCGATGACAAGCGTGCAAAGTTTATTATTATTTTTAATCGGCAAGGACGAGAAAGAATGAAAAACAGTGAAAAATAAATAGCTCGAGGCATTCTTGACCACTTGGACAAGCCTCCACACTGCGAACATTCAAGCAAGACTGAGGTTTATGTGGTTTACCCCCTATCATGAACATTGCATGATTAGGAGAGGGGGGGAAGTAGATGGCTGTCAACTCTTTGTCGCCTCAGCTGCCAAGTGTATTTCTCTCCCGTCCCCGTCATCTCGCAGCCTAGCGACGATAGCCTCGGTCAGACCTGGAAACGTACCGAGAGAGATCTCTGGACCGTGACCTAGATCTTGAACGAGATCGCGACCTCGACCTAGATCTGCGCCTCGTCCTTGGCCGAGTAGGAGACAGTGAACGAGATCGAGATCGAGAATGGGCTCTTTTGTTGCTCTTGGAGTACACATGTGAAT